ATTGGGCGAAATAAAGTGAAACAAACATGTAATACTATAATTGTACTATGGTATTATATTGATTATTTTGAGAAAAACATTTTTTGTCGCCTAGTGAAAATTCCTTATAAAATGCACTGCAACACATCTTTGTAAAATAAGGAAACTCATACTCTCCTACTGAATGATAAAGTGATTGCTTTTAATCAAAAAATCAACTTATAGCATTGGGAATTAACTGAAGAAAATGATAAACCACTTATTTTCCACTTTTAAAACAATTCCAATAAGTTCAAAACAAATTCTGATAATTTGATGACTCATAGAAGTTATTTTGAAAAATATTTTCCAGAAGAAATAATACAATATAATTTGATTAAAAATCCATTTACTGAAAAACTGATGTTAAATATCACAACTATAGAGGAAGAACAATTAATCGACATTTCATCTGATTCTTTATTACGAATTAAATTTTCTTCATTGTCACATTTAGGATTTTGGAAAAACAAAAGATGAATATGCCGAAGTTATCCACAAAGCTTTGCGTATATTAATACCATTTGCAACATCGTATTTGTATGAAGCAAAAATGTCTGCACTTACTGTTTTAAAATACAAATACCGGTCCAAACTTAATGTTGAAAAAGAAATGCGTGTTGTAGTTACAAATTTGGATCCAAATGTTGAGGTAATAATATACTCAAAACAAACGCATTGTTCACATTAAATTAAATAATAATAATTATAAATTTTTTTTTTTGTAACAAAAAAATAATATTATGCTAACATTAAAATAATAAAAATATTTTTTTATTTATTCACGGGAGACGGGATTAAATTATTTTTGTTTTGGGGATGCGTGACATAAACAAGTTTGGAAACCGCTGATCTATCTACATCATATACGGACACAAACCTCAAAAATCCAGCAAATTTTCATAAAATTTAATTTATACTGTGATAAATATATTATAACTTGAATGTGTTTAGTCTTTTTGTTTATTAAATCATAATAAATGAAATCTGAAATGCTACTGTATTATCAGTTATTGTTATTCGACAAGTTACAATAATTGTTGGGCCAATATATATTATTTACCGAATTCATTTTATTTACACCATATAATTATTATTATATAATATTTTATATTTAACTTCAACAATTTATAAACAAAGGGTTAAGTTATGTAAAAAAAAAATTTGATCATATCTATATACTATAATTAATATAATTATCATTGATGTTATGTCTTAATATTATTGTAAGTAATCATCACTCATTAATAATTTGTGCATAATAGTAAAAATTAATATTAATCAATAATTATGTATTATTATGGGGCTTAAACAAAAAAAGAGCCAATTTCACTTTGATCAGTTTTGATTAATTTAAATTTTTTACCAAGAAAAATCACATGCAATTGTATATGATATGCATAATACATAACATGTATATGTATAATAATATATTAAACTCATTTTCACCAAAAAAGTTACATTGCCTTTTTTGATCCAAGTTCTAAAATTATGCAATAATGAGTTACAAATAAATTTTTCATTAATACATTACGTGTTCAATTTTAGATACTGTGTAGATATTTATTATTATGTTTACAATAACGATTTTGTCTATTATGTAATAACAAGTAAGTTCCTATAATAAGTAATAACTATAGTTATATATAGACATTCAACTGAAGAAAATCTGATTGCGACTAATAATTCGTTTAAAAGAGGACATAATATTAAATGTATTCTTAATGTGAGCGTATAAGAATACTTATTGTTACTAGAGTATATATGCACTTATAGTTTGATAATTGTTGAAAGACAAAGTGATGAAATGTTACTGTACATTTTAACTGCCACATAAGAGTTTTTACAAACGGTTTTACAGTTAAAATAGATTTTATTTTTGGGAGAAATTAGAACTTTTGAAAATTGCTCCTCAGTCGTGTCTCCTCAGTGTGAGAAAACTATGTGCATTTGAGTATCCTCATTTCCATATGAACTATTAATATCACATTTGATATTTATATCATATATAAATTTAAAATAATTCGGTAAATAATAGGTTACAGCTATGTAAAGGGTTAAATAGGTAGCTGCTTTTGCACGTAAATATCGTTTGTTAGAACTTGAAATAATGAAACTTTAAACTAATATACGATAGATTTGATTAAAAAACGGACACAATTCGTGAGGATATAAACACTCCTCTTCTAATTTTATCACCGTTGCTCAATACCAGTGAGAATAAAAATTACTCGGTAAATAGTATTTTGCGTAATATTCAAAATTACAAAAAAAAAAAATGGTTTTTCGATAGTAAATTTAGACACGTAAGATATTGAACTAAGCATTGAAATTGAATATTTTAGAAAATTATGTAATACTGCAACAAGTAGTTGAACCGCGGTTGTATTTTGGGTAAATTAATATATTTTAAAACTTAACAGTTTGTTACACTGTTAGTTTTACGAGTGTAAAATGAAAATCCTTGTCTAGTTGTTCTCCAGTTAGTGAATTTAATGGACTTCTACTGTTAGAACAGATATTACTGTACATGATACACACATATGGCATACTTAATTCAGAGTTATGCAACTAAATCGAAATAGTTGTGTTTATACATTTAATTTCCAAATCAGAATAGTTTATTGTTATCGGTCTATATAACCGTTAAGTATTTTATGGTTAGAAATTGTCCAAGGTCATATTTAGTAATTTATTTGAATGTAGAATTTAATAGATACAGCAATAATATACAATATGACTACCCTGACTACCAGATATATTTGGAGTAATTGTAATATTAAAATGTGATGAACACAGTGTTGCGGGAGATCAACCATCACGATACACGATTAAAAAAATGTAATCTCAAACTAACTTTAAATTAAAAGTTATGAGTATAAGATAGTTATTTTTTTATTCTAGTATTTAAATTATTATATTGTTATATTTATTGTTTATTTACACATAAAAGCTTAGCCTGGAGTATTATTATATTTGTAATGGACGACCGGTTTCGAATCAAAAATTCACTATCAAGTATAAATAAAGTCAATAAAATCGCGATTTACATATTACTAATTTTTGTTTTATTTTATTACTTTATTATAAAAACTAATCAATAAGTTAATGACAATAAATAAAGTTCTGCTCATAGGCAAAGGAGTTGAATATTTTTAAATTTCCTAAAAATTTCTCGTCACTAGTATAAATACTTTATAAATATGTATTATGTTTAGGTATCAAGGGAGCCCATATGCCCCCCTCCCCTGGAAAATGTCAAAAATCTTGGAAAATTGTTTACTATAATCAGAAAATATTTATTTAAATATAATTTAAAAATTTAATTTAATATATGAAAATCTATAATTTGTTTATGAAAAATCTATTTATTTAGTTTAGAAAATCAGATTATTAGCTATAAATAACAATACGCTTTTTCGTTCTATTCTATGGATAGTTATCAATTCTTAAAATATTGCGTATTTCCAGAAATACGGTATGTATATGTGTGTGTGTACACAACCATAATATTTATATAATATTTGTAAATTAATATTTTAATAAATATAACTAATGTTTTAAGTGTCCAATTTATATTATTAATTAAATAAAAATTTCAATTAATTACTTTTATGATAAATTGGTTAAATAATTATTATTTTATTGTTTCCAGTTTGATATATGTAATGTAATAGTATAATGTAAAATTGTAAACCCCTTCCTATATCGTGGGTTATTTCTATTTTTGAATAGATTGATAAATTAAAATGTTGTCTCCCCCTTGAGAATTTTCCTATGGGTGCCCTTGTTAGGTATATTAATATAACATCATGGTTTTTATTTCATTATTTCACTATATTATTACAACGGATTTATCCAATCACTTGTGCTTGTTGATTTGATCAAATTTCGAAATTAATAGCAATGAAATAGCTATTCATCCGCAGAAATTTGAGACAAACACATTGTATAATATTGTAGATAAATAAAAAAACATACATATAATAATACACTACACTCAGATAAACTGGTACTATGATAGTACTATTAGGATCGTACTACCTATGTATTGCACGTCTCTTATGGTCGTTTTTATTCCATGCACTTACGTTATTTACTCTAAATAACTCTAAATACTAGACTACTTTACTCTAAATAAATAGTTAACTGCTTATCAAGGAAATTTTTTTTTCGAAGAATTACTCATCGATTGCTTAATTCAACCGACTTTGACCAACATTACTTAACGTATATTTCGATTCATATCAGGAATCAAACCGGAGCTTGTATGTTTTTACCTATGATTATAATCATATTTCAATCGTGAACGTTGTATTGCAAACTATGTTAACAGCAAGCGTAACGTTTCAAATCTTAGTAATTTTCTCAATTCAAATTGTATTCTGAATTTCTGATCTGCAGTATGTCCCTTGTCAATGGGTATAGTTAAATCGTATTTTATATAATAATGAAGTTGAGACGGTAGAATCGCGTCAAATACAAGTAAATAATGGCCGATTTCGGAGAAAAGAAATTATGATATTTTTACCTTTATAATTAATCTAATGATGATGCCGTAATTTTATCGACGAACCGATAGCACCAGATAGAGGAAATGTTCATAGTATTGGTGGACGAAAAAATTGTGATTGTAACGAAAACGTGTGTAAACGAAAGCCGTATTACTATTATTATAGTGTTATATTCTTCTTTTTTTTTTTTTCTATAAACTTCTGTCTTGTAAAAAAAAAAAAAAAAGAGTTAATGTTTCCGAAAAAACTACATTCGACCCGAGCGCATTACGAGAAGGATAAATGCAACTCGACCTTATCCCCGGTACGCGGTATGACTAGGTGGTACATCTATGACGGTGTTTCACGACGACGTTACGTCGCGGTGGCGGCACGTCCAATCCGCCGTCGCTGTTTCCCTACTCGCGCGGAACACGGACGCGCTACGCCGCCGCCGCACGCGGAGACCGAACAACACGCGCTCGTCGTCGTGCTACACGCGCCAGTCGCCGATCGCGTACGGTTCTGGACAGTGGCGGCGCTCGTTCGCGGGTGCGGTACACGTTCACATACAGGTACTATACACGCGCACGCCGTACACGCGATATTATATTCTCACCAAGTGCGCACGTGATCGCCGCCGATACAGTGGTCGGGCAGACGAACCGCGGTAGCAGACACAGTCGCAACAATCGATGACAATCATTGGCGCTAACCGTTAGTGTCTTTCAATCGGTTTGACCTGTCGGCGAATCCGTTGTCGCTTCGCGAACTTTTCCCGGTGCCGTCTGTGCAGTGTACGGCGCGACGACGAAGCGCGTGACGTATTCGCGTTCGGTTCGGTTGTGTTTTCCGTGCGTGTACATCACATCGCGTTATACACCCTCGTCGTGCACGAATACGTGTAGCGAAAAGCAAATCGGTCGATCAACAGGTGTTCTCGACCGGCTGGCGGCGGTGGTCCCGTTGGAAAACCGCGTTAACTGTTCGCGGTACTTGCCGACCCGTCGAGGAAGAACAGCAGAAGGAACATAAGGAAGAGGAGAAGAAAAAGAAGAAGAAGGAGAAGGAGAAGTAGGAGTCGGTGGTTGTAGCTGTGGTAGTGGTTGTGCCGTGACGCAGAAGGAAAACCACAGAGTTGAAAAATCCACATCGACCGTGCGTAAAGTGCGTGTGCTCGCGGACAAACAGGACGTTTTAATTAGTAGGTACTCGATACATTATATTATGGGTAATATTGTCTAACGGTATGTATGAAATATACCTGGTACCCAGTACGAGATCTATGAGAGTGAACGTCGCAAAAGAAAAACAACCGACGTGTGAATTCTACTCAATATTTTACTGTCGACACAATATCGTCCATACTACATATGCGATACTAAAGAAGGACTACAGGGGTTAGGTATATCTTTGAAGATTATTTTAATCCTGTGGCTGTAGGATTTAAAATTATATTGCTTATGTCTGCTACATTGGATTAATTGTGAGAAAGAATTTAACGCGATGTTAATAAGTTTTACTGCCTGATGTATTTTCTTGTACGTACCATTTCTATAAGGCCTTATGAGACTTATCACGAAAGCAACATAATAATATAATATATTATATGGCTTGTAAATATTCGGCCTGAACGAAAAATATTCAATGGGCCACTTTCTTGTTTGGTTTAAATGTGAAATAATAAAACTTGGTATATGTGTCCTTAATCGTGTATTTTATTGGTCATTTCATGTATTGTATTAAATAAGTAACTATACATAGATATGTAATTTATCAATATTAATATATTCTAGAAAGGCAAAAGGCTCCTTAGCTAAAGAATAAATAATAAATAGATGAATATATATTTTGTACTTCAAAGCGCATTACAAATTATGTGTTTTTGAAATTTTTTTAAATTGTTTTCCTACATCTTTTGGACATGATTTTATAATCTTAATCCATAGGATTCAACTATTGTTTGTCGCCCGATATACCCAAAAATTAGTTGCAATCATAGTATTTTTATTTATTTTTATCTCATCATTTATAAAAAACGTGTTATTACGCAAAAAAAGAAATAAGTAATAAAACAGTAATAAAAAGTTATAACGATTCTCTTTGTTTTTAATTCGAAGTTGTATAATTTTGTTTATTAGATAAAATTAGTGTTTTTCTTTTCGCGTGTTAGTCTTAGTTCTCGTCAAAAGAGTTAAATTGAATGATACAAAATAAATATGTAAAGTTAACATTACAATATTAAATAAGTTAAGATAAATGCATCGTTTATATGAAAACATTAGTACTATTACTATAAAAGACAGAAAATAAATTAATAATCATCATTCAATTAAACTTCCAGATTTTAAAAAAAATTATAGATAATTTTATACTTTGTTAGTAGTTGTATTTTTATATTTTTGTTTATTTTGAACTTTAAAATTATAAATGGTAAGGTTATACTATTGTTATTTAAAGTTAATGGATAATTTTATCAGAATATTCAATTTATTGTAAATTAGTTTTTTTAGATATAGTTATTATTAGGGACCGAATTTATATGAAAGTGCATGTATGGATTGGAATAAGCTTTTTGAAATCTGATGAGCATTGTCCCCGATTTAGATATTTCTTATTAAAATAACACTAATTTTATTTTTGCATGTTTCAATGTTTTTACCTATTAAATGCATATTCAATGCATATTTGTAGTTTTATAGTGCATATTATTATTAATAGCACATATATTTGTTTTCGTCGTATTTTCACGTTCACAGACACATAATATCGATAAAATTGCGACCGGTCGTTATTTCCAAAGATAAGATTACATACTCATATCCCATATTATAGTCATATACAACATATGTATGATATATACATATATGTATAGATAAATAATATAGAATTCAAGTGTCGACTTGACGACAAAATATTTTAAAAGCTTTTTATACTTTTTATAATACTGTATTAATTAATACTTATTTTTACATTAATATTACATTTCACATATTTGTACATCATTTAAAACAATATTTTAAGTGAATATTTAAGTACAAATTTAAAAATAAATACATATTTTATAGCATATTACAGCATTTTTAGAAGAATATTTTGAGGATTTTTTGTGCATATAAATCTGGTCCCTAATTATTATCTTATTTGTATTAAGATTTTAAAATATGACAACCTGTTGATTTTGATATTGAACTAAACTGCTGCTTTTGTTACTGATTTTTACTTTTAAATGGCAGTGGCGTAAATAGGTTTTCATTTCGGAGGAGACCGATTATGTATTTGATTTTTGGGTGGAAGAGAAGGAGAAAGTACACTATTACAAAAAAAATTACTATAACACTATTAGACAATCTTTAACAATGGTGTTTTTCATTTCGGAGGGGGCTCGGGCCCCCTCGGTGCCTCATAAATATGCCCCTGCATTGTGGTACTATGATTTATTTACTTTTTTTTCAAATATTTTAATAAATTTCAGAGTTCTTATCTAAGATGTAACTAATCTTGATCAAAAAACAAATAATTCAATATAATTTTTAAATTGTTGTTTAAACGAATTAAAATTATAGGTAATAATTATAATAAGTATAATAGGTTGTAATATTTACTTTAAGAATGTTAAGTTATTCAACCGTACATTTATCAGCTATATTTTTGTATTATGTTATAAATACGAGTAGGTATAGTACAAAAAGATTTTGTTCGATGTTAACAGAAGTGCATAATACATTTGAAATTAAAGTACATCTTTATGATTTATGAGGTGGATTGTGAAATATCTAAATAAAAAGGTAATTTACTAATTAGGATTGTAAATAGGGAACCTAACTTGTTCGTATTTATTTTTTATTAAACTTCTCACTTCATTATCCTTGAATTTGTTTGTGTCAGATTTTCATTTTTCAATAAATTAGTTTTTCGTTAGATTTATATTTGCTTATTTATTACAAAAACTGAAGTTACATAGTTATTTTAAATAAACTTTCAAAAAAAAAAAAATCAACTAAAATAATAATCACAAAATAATCTGATTTAAATTTATATTATTTAAGTTGATATATCAACCACTCCTTATAACTACTTATTTAATTATTATGATTTTACTTATATAATTAACTATCTAATTATTAAATTATATAATTGTTTAAACAATACTAGAATTAAATAAAATACTAATAAAATAATAAACTATTAGGATCTTGCTAGTTTTTAATCGGTATAAATGTACCGGTTTACATTTATACCATTTATTTAACCATAACATTTAATCTACCAAATAATCGCAGAAATAAGAAGATAAATATAAATAATAATTTATATTTTATATATATATATTATATAATATACTATTGAATATAGAGCATTTTATTTTCCGTTTCATTATTATTCATAAGAATATGACTATTATCGAATGTTTTTGAAAACCTTCTATAATATTCAAGAGCTCTGGTCAATATAATTAATAAATAAAAATTTGTAATTATTTATTTAATCAATTAATTAAATTGTACGTCAATTAAATAATAATCAATCATAAGTATAAAATAAGGTAAGTCTTTATAATGAATTAAGAACAAAATATGATTATATATTCTTCAGCCATTCAAGTATTATCAAAATTAACGAAATCAAATGAATCTTATTTTTAAATTACTTAATCAAAAGAAGATTAACGTTATATATATGTTGTCATATGCCATGTAAATGTTATAATATTATTTTCGGCGTAAAATTATTCTGATAAGTTACAATCTGTACTGTACATATAAAGGAATGGGAACTAAAACAAAAATGATATCTTCTTGTCATTATCTAAATTATGATTATTATGATAATCTATTCATTAATCATTACGGTGTGTTTCATGATGTAAGGGAAAAAGTAAGACATTAAAACTGTCAACAATAAAAATTTCTTTGATTAAATTTGACACACACACTAATCGGTTGAATAACAATAATAAAAAACAATAAAAGTGGCTTTTAAATCTGTGTTAAGTATGTGTGAGATTGTTTTGCTATAAAACCAAATTTACATTAAAATTATTGTGGATTACCTACGTCAACGGCGGCAACCAACTGAGGTTCGTTATGAGAAGTACAAAATATTATAGTGCTACCAGACTACTAAAAAAATAGAAACAAACAAAAAGATTGTTATTTTCGTTGCGGAATTCAGACATGTCCGTATATACAATAACGCTATTAGGACAATGTCGATTAGATTTTCGTGGGCCGTGAAGACCGCTACAATTGAAGAAAAAAAAAATGAAAAATCGTTGTGTAATCATCATAGTGCGTCAAACACTCAGATTCTATACATTGGATGGAAAATGTTGTTTTTTATCATCATTGATAACGGTCCAATGTTAATTGATTTTGCGTTACTTAAATATTATTATAACTTCATATTGTAGGACTGCCTCTCTATATAAAGTAATATATATATAATAGATGAATTTGACGTGTGTTAGGACCCTTTTCTGTTCACTGTCTATTATTGTCGCTGACTGCGGTTATTGAAGATACGGAGAAAGTAGGACGGTTTCTTATGTACAGTTGATTTTGAGAATAATGTGTTTAAAAACTGGAAAATAATTTCCTTAGAAAAAATATCAATTAAAGATCCGAATTTTGGATATGTGCCGTACAAAAATGTATTCGATATTCATTTCGATACCGGCATAACACGAAATTTGTGTTGATAAAAAAAAAGAAAAAAACGCTTAAAAATATTATGTACTGTACCATTTCTGTGTACTTATCTACTTATCTACTAAGTTTTTACAAAAAAATATGTGAATGTACGAAACAGCTATACATATTTACAATGCATTCGATAAACGCATAAGTATTTTAAGGTTATATCTGATCTATTATTTGAATGTATTTGAAAAATGTTAGCAGATTTTCAGTTATTTGGATATATAAATAATATGAATAACGTATCAAATTATATTTGGCATTGATTGGATGATTACTAATATAAAATATGTGTTAATGAAGTATTATGTCACTGTGCATTGCAATTGAATGTCTATTGCGGTTTTGGGGTGAATCACAATATAAGGATACCTGCTAAATTATGTGATACTATGATAATAATATATTGTTAATTATTTAAGATATTACTAGATATCTATAATATTTTACTAGCCTAATTGCCATGACGTAACAGTACAATAACATTTAAATTGAGTATTGAGAAAATA